TCTCTGCTCTTTCGCAATACTGTAGTACATGTCAGTTCTAACAATTGTGTCAGTTGAACCTGTATCGATGAGGAATCTACATTTTATAGACCTGATGGTACCCTCTACAAATAAGCCTTGCTTGGGTTCTTCGTTAGGTGTAAGTGTTACAATCCTTCCATCATCAAGTCGACTAGGTCCGTTACTTCTTACAGCCTTCCCGTGGACCTTCCGGTCAGCTGTTCGTCGTTTCCCGACCTCTCCTTTTCAGGAAGAGGACATTCCCTTGCGAAATGTCCATTTTCGTTGCAGTTGAAGCATATCAAATCTTCTTTTCTCCGCCATTTCTTGCCGGAATTTCCAGGAGTTGGTGGTTTGGGAACTCTCTCAGAAGAAAGAAATCTTTCATTCATGAGCCTTGTCATTGTCTCGAATTGTGTTGCCTGCCTTTCACACAAATGCTCCAATCTCTGGATGAGTTGCTCAGATTCCTTTTCTGAACCCCTCACCAATTTGTGCGGACGTCTCTCCGATCTTCGTTCTTCTTCGATTCTTTCATAGTTCTCTGTCTCTATGGCCGCACGAATAGCTTCGTCAATGTCCTTTGGCCTAGCTCTGTGCACTCCTTCTCGGATAGTCCGGTCTTCTATTGCCTCAATAAAATGGTTCTTCTCGAGCCTTTTTCTCCCAACCTCTGGAATGTCTGGGTAGGCTTTGATTGCCAATTCACATATGACTTGGCCAAGTTCCTTCAGTGTTTCTGTTTGGCCTTGACGGCGATGACGCAATTCAAACAGAAAATTTTCTGCCTGTTGACTTGGGCCAAATCGCTGCTCTAGGAGCTTGGTCAGTTCCCTATACGTAAGTTTGCGATCGTGCTGATGGTCCAACAGACGGAGTGCTTCACCTTGAAGGCTTACAGTCAGAAAAGCACTTGCCTGCTCCTTTGTCCAACCATTTATATCTTTGCATGCTTCAAAGTGTTTCAAGTACTGATGCCACGATGTTTGTCCATTGAACCGATCAGGTGTTATGCAAGGCCTTTGGCTCTGTTTTGTTCCTATTGAACAATCTCTAGAAACTTCTTCTTTTATTTCCACATCACCCTGCTTGTTGTCAGGCTTCTTCGTAAGAGCCGATTTCGTTCTTCCACTGGCCTTTTCCCATGGAAAATTGGGATCGAATCCTTCAAGGAAAGGGGACCCAATGTCCCCAGCCAACTCTTGAGAAAACATGGTATCCGGCACAGGAGTCGAACAATCGGTTCCAACCTTCCGGTCTGGGGTCAATAGCTCAGGATACAAGCCCTTCTTCTCTCCACATTCGGGCGTGTTTTCACCCTTGTTTCTCTCAGTGTACGGTCCATTGAAAACTATGTCCGTATCTACTCTCCTTCTCACAGATGGTTCTTCGAACTGTCCAAGCTTGACGGTACTTTGTGAAGACAATCCCTGTTGTCTTGCTTCTATCAGATTAATTTTTGACCGTGCATTGTCACGTTCCAACTGTAAAATTTGATTCTCCATTCGTAGACGTTCCAGCTCTGTGTTCAATTGAGTTAGGTCACATTCATTAACTGAGGACCTTTGATGCTCCTTTTTATCCATGGTGAATTTATTAAGAGCTGTAGCACAAAGAACTTCCACCTCAAGTAGAACCTCAATTGGCACCTCAACTGACACCTCAACTTGGCACCTCAACTTGGCACCTCACCTGGCACCTCAACTTGGCACCTCAACTTGGCACCTCACCTGGCACCTCAACTTGGCACCTCAACTTGGCACCTCAACTTGGCACCTCAACTTGGCACCTCACCTTGCACCTCAACTTGGCACCTCAACTTGGCACCTCAACTTGGCACCTCAACTTGCACCTCAACTTGGCACCTCAACTTGGCACCTCACCTGGCTGCACTTCTCGATAGTTCGCAGCTCACGTTAGCACCTAAAAAGGTGGCGTGTTTTGAGTCCGTGTCTTAGTATGTAGTTTCACGCTGGAAGCATGACCCACGCTGTTTTAGTTGTCCCGCCGCTGCCACCAGTGTGACGAGTTCTGGTTCCATGAACTTGGTAGCAATTCCGAACGACACGAACCAGGTCTCGTCTTATAAATCAGTCAACTCTCCCAGACAGTCGACTCTCACAACTCACAACTATTCAACGAGGATCTCAATCATGCATTCATCAATCACTTCAATCAAAGTAATATCCGAGACAAATAACGACAACTTACAATGATGTTTGATCTTTCAGCTTACTTTACTGCATTCCTTACTGCATCAATACAAAACACGGACTGCCCGTTCGCAGCGTTATCAAATCACTTATATCAATCTGACCAAAATGTCGCCCTCTTCAGGTTAAACACTGTAACATTCCGTCACAATATATTCTTCCAATAATAACTCACGAAAGTATAAGAAATTATGTCTAATGTATTTCATATTCTATGCGATAATATTTGACAAATGCGCTTTGTAATAAGATATTAACATTATCATAATTGCTACATTGTATAATATATGGATTTTAAAAATGGTTAGAGAAAATGATACGGTAGTTTTTGTGAAATATTACAATGAAATTATGACTCTTTGTGTCATGCATTATACAACAGTCAAACAACTCTATGACTAGAATGATTGAGTATCCATCTGCTACAAACATGTCATTATACCGCTAAAAACATCCATCTATGCATTTAACTATTGTTCAATACACATGTATATATATATATATATATATATATAAGCGTGCATTAAGAATAATCCATAATGTCTACTTTCATTCCCACACTAACCGCTTATTTTTACAAGACAAAATTCTTAAAAATTATTGATTCGTATTCCTGGCACCTCGGCATCTTTATGTTCCAACTAATTAATAACGAGTTACCTCTCCCGATTTCCTCCATTTTTAGTTTAAAAATAACGAGATACATTCATACCCCACTAGACAGTCGAACCACTTCCACACTCCTCGAATGAGAACAGCTTTCGCACAAAAAAACAATTATTTACACCGGTCCAGTATTTACATAGATGGGGGCTCGAGCACTCCGACCCCCGTCGTTCCGCGGGCCCTGATAATCATATTTTAACATAGGCCTATTAAATCGCATCATATCGTATCTTATCATACAAAATATCATGTCATGTCATGTCATATCAAAATAAAATCAATTCAGATCAAATCGATTTAAATCATATTAAATCAAATGAATCAACTCAGTTTACATTGAAATAATAAATCCGGTTTAGATTTATCATCATATGGATGACAACAAACAGTTAAAATAAAAAATAATAACACTTAAGAATCATTTATAACCAGGAGAGTGCATCGAAACAATATTCAATTTGATTTTGCATTAATTAAGCACGGCTCATCGCCTCAGCCATATTGGCAATCCGATCGAAACAAAGTGTTATGTCGTCATCTTAACTGCGGCAAATTTGACCCCTGTGGAAACGAGGTTTTAATTTGCTTTGGTGCAATACTGAAAGGAATAATATTATGAGTTTGCACCTCAAACTCAAACGGTAGGCCTCAATACTCAATACTATTTTATTTGACTATGGTTTTTGTTCTAGTCTTGCGTAAGGGCAAGTACTTTTGATGATAACTCGAACCTTCGAATGTGGAAATTTTCCTTTCTTCATAGAAATAGGATATCAAATGTTTACGGTGCAAAAAACGCGTATTTTGAAAGACGACTCTTGTTTTGATTTGCAAGGGACCCGCATTCAGAAGTAACGTTGGAGGGCGACAAACACGAGAGTAAGCAAAGCACAGAGATCAACGAGATACATTGGTCCAAGTAAGTTAAAATAACAAACAAAGAAATAACAATAATAATAATGATAAAATTAATGATAATAAAATGGTAATAATGATAATTATAATGATAATAACCAGCGAACTGTTTATTGCACAGCTCCATCTCATGGTCAACTGACCAACAGTGCGTTACCCAATACCTAATTTCCACTGAGCAGACACAGGACTCAATGCGAAAACCAACAGCGCAGGTAGGGCCAGACCACCTAATTCGTTCCGATGACGAATTAAATTTCTCGTTTGGGACCATACTGCTGCAGCTGACCTGAGATTGAACTATATGGAGTTTGCAGTAGTGCTTCTAGTACAGTATGGCTTTAAAGTTAACCCTTGCTTCGGCTTAATACGCTAATGATACACATACACTGTCGCTCATATAGTTGGAATATTTTATTTTTTTACCCCAATTTATGGAATTATTTTGACAATGATTTATTCCTAATAGATCTAGATAATAGTATACATTCTCAGATTTTATTGAATAATAATTTTCCAGTGTTTGTTTTGCGTGACTGCTAAAGCATGTGTATGCCACTATGCTTATCAACTGGTGGACCTACGCCCTTAAGAAACAAAACTTATGTGTGCCCATGCCTTGAGCCATTATGCATGGCCGTACAGAGGTTGGGGACCCGGGGGAATTCAATGAATTATGGAAAATTTATTGCATTTTCTTCTTTCTTTTTTTAAGTGTGGGAACTGCCCCCTACCCTAGCCCCCGCTGAGTACAGTCATGGTTCAGTGGCAAAGCAATGGCAAAGCAATGGCCTCGTAACTGTGAGGCCCCAGGATCAAAACCGTGTCGATGTGCTATATTAGTGCCCTTTTGTGGGGCATTAATCCTCATTACTGTCATTTATGACTTAAGGGCGTATGTCCCCTAGTTGATAAGCATAGAAGCATACACATGCTTCATCAGTCACGCAAAACAAACACTGGTAAATTATTATTTAATAAATTCTGAGAATGTATACTATTATCTAGATCTATTAGGAATAAATCATTGTCAAAATAATTCCATAAATTGGGGTAAGAAAAAATATTCCAACAATATGAGCGACAGTGTACATGTACACTCAAACTCCCTCTATCGAGTTCAGTTCTAGTAAAAATAATCCTATCCTTGTTTATCACAGTAATCTATTGTAATCCGTATCCTATCCGAAACCTTGATATTTTACTGGCCTAGCACAGCCAGCCTATATCCTATTCGTTAGAAAAAGAATGACAAAATTAACAACAACATCAAAGATTATCAAGTAACGGCCTATAATATTTTGACAAACTCGCTACGTTTATAACTGTATATAGAGCTCATGCTATACAGTCAAACTTGTCTTCATAGCCACCTCTCTCCCTCTGGTGCTATGCATCTTGTCTCCCTAAAGAACGCTAAGTGTGTTGTAGAAGCTGTCTATAGACAGGCAACCATTTTCTTTGAGTGACCTTAATCGTCAGGTTTGACTGTATTTAAAGCTCGTTCTGGGTCCTACTTCATGGAATCACTTTTCAATCGGCAACTCGTACTCCGGCTCAGTATTCTCATCGGCTACTCCCAAGTTTGATTTCTTCACTCTAGCTGTTTGCTCCACTATTCTTTGATTTCCATATTCTACGCCCTCGATTGCATTTGTGTGGCATCTATTTCCGTGTCTAGTTGCTTTGATGTCCTCGTAGGCTGGTTGCTTCATAGTTGTTGCATCTAAGGATGTGTAGGGATCGAGTTCCTGACCCTCCCTGTCACTGACTGACGGTTTTAGAGCGATTTTAGAGCGTCTGACATGGAGGAAAGAAAGATTATTGGGGAAATATAACATAGTTGTGTTATAGCATCAGCGCCTCCTATGTAATAATTCAAATTGTTATTATTATTTTATGAATTGGATCATTTTTATTATTATTATTATCATCATCATTATCATTTGTTACTTATCTATTTATTAGGAGGAGGCGCGATAGCTCAGTCGGTAGAGAAATGGTCTCGTAATCCGGTGACCCGGGTTCGAAACCAAAGCGATGCGCTAGTGCCCTTTGGTAAGGCATTAATCCTCATTACCAAGTCCCTCGGAGAGGACCTAAATCCGTCGGCCGTCTGGTTGCATTTCTGCTTTCTTAGCAGTCAGGTAAAATAACTATTATTATGCGTGTTGGGTGATTGTGGGTGTTTATGAGTGCTGGGGCGCTATGGAAGACGGGGGCGGTGGGCTTGGTTTATATCTCACCTGAGATGGAGGTACATCAATGTAATGATGATACCATACAAGGTAACAAAAGCAAGTAGTATGCCCACAGCGAGAGTGCTGGCGATTTCTGGAGAGAAAAAAATCAGATAAGAATTTATAGACAATTGGACCATTTACACATCGTTTACACATCGTTGTTTTTTTGTACTGCCTTTTACACTTTATTTTAAATCGGATTTTGCTCAAACATTCACTTAACTCTTCCACTAATTTGTTTGCTTCTAGAAAAGTTCACTTTAAATCAGGGTGGACTTCCCCGTTAGAAATTACATTTGAAAACACTCAATTATGATAGCTTAGTTCTACTTCCTTTCCATTGCTTTGTTATTGTTTTAATTGTTCTATTTTGGTACCTTGGTAACATTGTTCAGATGAGAGATAATGGTGCTAAGTTAGTGACTTTAATGCTAGATGTACAATTAAAGATAATCTGGAAGTTTGAGTGAAAACAGACCATTATTTATGATACAAATTGGGAAAAACTTATCTGATCAATTTCATAACTCTCCCAACTATTACAATTTAATTTGATTTTAGGTGGGTGTAAATCGTTACAAAGCAATGAATCGGCTCCATATATCATTCCAGACATTTAAGTGTAAAAAGATCTTTTAAAGCCTGTTTTAAGTCTTATTTTCATAGAAAAACGGTTTGAAAATTCTGAAAAAGTTGGGAGAATTTACTATTAGAGGGTGTCGCACAGTGACGCCTTCAAAGAAAACCATAAATATCTTGGTGGTTTGAGTTTTTTTCAGGATTCTTTTCATGTTAGAGGGTTAGTATAGTATAAGGAATATATTAAGTAACATTTCATACTGTAATTTTGCAGTTTTTTCTATTAACCTCCAACAATAATACCTCTTTAATTTACAATTTCGTATACTAGAATTGACAGTTATTAAAATCATCATAATCGAATCTTTGTATTAAAAACCGTTATAGGACCAAAGAACTTACTTTTTATATCATGGCTAACTAGACAATAACTGAGGTTCATTGATTTGTTTTCTTTTATGTTCACCGTGAAGTTTGGTCACGTGTGAAATATGGAGAGGTCGCCATACCTAAAGATATATGATCGGCAGTTTGCATATGTCGTAATTCGCTGAGACCATGCAGACTTGGTGGAAATACTACTAATGGTATACGAGTATTACGCGCAGCGAATTAGATTTTCCCCCAAGAAATACCCCGTCCCCCACCTCGGTCTCTCGGAGAGTCTTTGCGTGGACGAAACATATGATGATGACTTTTCATAATGAGGCGATAGGTGGAAAGTGCAGAGTGCATTACATAAGACATGTTGATCGTAAAATCGAAAGCCACTTCCGGAGTTTGATAACATCTATTATCAGGTAAATACCCGAATTCGCGTGACCATGCTTCTGTATAGGAACCAGAAATCCATCGACCGTACGCTTTCACCGAAAGGTGGCGCAATCGAAAAGAAAAAAATTACAGCAGCCGGGGAACGATATCGGTAAAATACACTGCCTTTAATATTTTAAATGCCCGCAATTCAATGAAAATCCCAATGTTGACGAGAATGATCGCGATTGCTTTGATTCTTACCAGTTTTAACATCCACTTGACAGGATGTTGATGCAAAAGTAGAAGAAGTATCAGCAACCGTAGTATGAGGAGGCGTTGACTGGAAAACTACGTTCAATGAATACAAAAAGTGTCGTTTCAGCAATACAAAATGTGTTGTTTCAGCGGAAGAAATTGATGAACAAACAGTTTCAAACATCTTCTACACATGTCAGAGTTTAGAATATGACATGTTATAATATTGATAGATGATAATACCACGCAAATATCCAATACGACCAAAGATGTATGCTGTGTTGGACAATCAATACTATGTACATATAAGAAAGCTATCACTAGATCTATTATCAGGTGAATACCCGAATGGTTGTCAAATTTCCCACCAGAATCCATAATTATATGTCCCAAAAAGTCGACAGCCATGTCCCACAATGCATCACCAACTGCATGACGCGCGCGATGATGCTTCTGTACCACTGACCTCTACTAGAAATACATCTATCGTCAGTGTTGCCAGATCTGGCATAACTATGTTTTCTGGCATAAGTTTGACCCTTTCAGCATCTGGCATTATGCCTGGCATAATTTGGCGGGGTTTTTTTGCAAAATTCTGGCATAATTTGAGCTTTTTTAGCATAATTTGAATACATTTTTTTACATATTTCCTCAAAAATTGGACCCAAAAAAAAATTGCTTCGTACGAGCATAATCCCGATCGATTTGATTCTTACCAGTGTTAACATCCAATTGATCCGATGATAGAAAAGTAGAAGGAGTAGATGCCTGAGTCGGACTCGTATCAGCAACCGTAGTAGGGGGAGGCGTTAACTGGACAACTACGTTCAATGAATAACAATTTGTTGTTTCAGCAGAAGAAGTTGATGAACCAAGAGATTCAAACACATTCTACACATGCCATATTTTAAAATATGACATGTTATATATTGATAGCTGATAATACCACGCAAATATCAAACAAGACCACAGATGCATAATGTGTTTGACAATCAATATCATGTACAATTATACAAAAAACTTGGCCCACGGGTTCTCGGTCACGTACTTTACTCGCAACCATGCAATCAGGGAGATGGTCTTTGTTTTTCCTTTTTTCTTTTAAAGGACGACGGATGTCAAAAAGTGGCCTGATAAGACTAAACTTAATGATGAAATGATGAAAGCTTTTCTAACAGATATTCTACAGCAACTCTGATTACCTTATTCAACATGACACGATGCATTGCAAAGGCATATGAAATGCCGGTATAAAAAAACGATATTACTAACTTATTACAAGTTTGAGACGGTTTAAAATTATTTGAGAGCCTTGGTTGAGGTTAATACAAAAAATCGGTCCGGTTAAGGTCGGTTTATAGTGGTATGACTGAAGTACTACACAGAATGGCCTCGGTCAGGTTGGAGTCGGTTAAGAATCGGTTAGTGGTATGTCTGAAATATTACACGTAATGGCATCCGGTAGGGTTGGAGTCCGTTTAAAATAGGGTTAGTGGTGTAACTGAAGTTTTATTTACAAGTCACTCAATCATTTTTTGGCAATGTTTTGTATTCCGTCCGATATGTCCAGTTTAATAATAGTCTTGCTCGAGGTTTACATATATCCCCAAAAATATGACTACTCACGTCTAAAAACAGCTATGTATCCTACCCCACCACAGCTATCGGTAGGGTCCCCTGCACATGGAGTCTGACAGTTAGCATTTGTTCCCACTCCATATCTACTATAGTTATCACTCGCTTCACCACAGGTACATAACTGTCCATGTTCGAGGCCAGCTAATGTAAAGTTAGCTCTGGTTGACTCGTTACAATACTGGATGCAATAGGAAATACTTATCGCTGAAGAGGCGAATCCGCCTTCGCCGGTTAACGGCGGGTATCCCACATTATACACAAAACATCCGATATATCCATCACCTGTAAACAAAAACAAAACTTTAAAATGGGATGTTGACGTAGTACACACATTTATTCAAAACAAATCCAACATACTGCAGGATCCGTGTAAGTACCTTTTTTTAAAGAATGATTGTGATTTTTTTTTGATTTTTTTTTTTTCCTTCAATTATCATTCTTTGAACAGCATTCCGACCAACCACTCTAGACTTAAACAAGAGCCCACGGGTCAATCCTACCACAATGATATTCACATTCTACCGTTAAACCCATTTAGCACCTTGGTGGAAATGAATCAATTTACAGAAAAGGCCTTGCCTAACGACATAAGTGCAGTGTCGGGGATTTGAAGCGATGGCCTTCACATCTGCAGTCAAAGTTTTTAAGCCATTGAAGTACCCCTTTTCCGCAGATTATGAAAGAGCTTATGATACAGATTTCTATGTTGATTAAAATAAACTTTAATTACCATGACACGAAGCTGCTCCTGCTGTTGAACACGTTGGACTTGAAAACAGCGTACACTCAGACAAATTATCTTCGTCTGAAGAAGAGAAAAAACGCTTTGGAGTTAACTTGTGTCATTTTCTCTTGAAATCATAGTCATTACAGATTACTGTAAAATTTACTTTACGTTGTTAATGATTTTGAAATAAATCAGAAGGCATGTACATAATCTACAATAAAGAAATCATACCTTTAAACATAAATCATGTTCCGAAAATCGAAAAGTATTGTGTGTGATTGCACAGAATTGTACAACTCAATTGTTCAATCACAATCATTTGCTTTTATTTTGGACCATATTCCATACTGTATGATGTTATATTATTGTTTGTAAGTTGTTATGGTTATAGTCCAGTAGACGGTACCATATACCATGTACATGACCTGGAAAAGTTGATAAGTACAAGTTTTTTTTGTTGATTTGTGTTCTAGATGGGTATTGAAGTAAATTCAGCTTGGTTGCCAGCTTGGCAACCTTGGGCAACTTTTTTAATAGCCATATTAGCATAATCATCTAATTAGCATATGTGCAATTTGTGATAATGTTGCTAATCTCAATCCAGGAAGCCTGAAAACATAGTTAATACGACTTTTCAAGGGTTTTATATCACAAGGAATTCATTTATGACACCAATTTTTATTTTTAAGTAATACAATTGTCTTAAATAGCATAATTAGCATAATATGTACAATATATGGACTTCATTGTCATTGTTTATCTATAAAGCCTAAAAATGGTGCAATGCAACGTTGTAAATCACTTTTGAAAGATTAATCATTAATTCATGAGAAGATATTACATGTATATGTAGTATAATTAGCCTAATTAGCATAGTCATCTAATTAGCATATATGTGCAGTATGTAATAATGTTGCTAATCTTAATCCAGGCAGCCTGAAAACATGGATAATACGATTTTTCAAGGGTTTTTTATGACGAGGAATTCATTTATGACACCAGTTTTTTATTCCAAGTAATTCAATTGTCTTAAATAGCACAATGAGCATAATGAGCTAATTAGCACGTGTACAATATATGGACTTCATTGTCACTGTTTATCTATAAAGCCTAAAAATGGTGCAATGCAACATTGTAAATCACTTTTGAAAGATTAATAATTAATTCATGAGAAGATATTACATGTATATGTAGTATTTATAGCCTAATTAGCATAATCATCTAATTAGCATATATGTTATATATGACTGAAAACATGGATAATATGACTATTTCAGGGTTTTCCATGACGAGGGATTCAGTTGTGACACCAGTTTTTAGTTTTAAGTAATACAATTGGCTTAATATTTAATTATTGTAATAAGCCTAATTAGTATTTGGGACTCTATTTAGCTTCACAAATTGTATGTCCAATGTGGTGGTTATCTTGGTCTTAAGGCAATGTTGTCGAACCTCATGAAATGTCTAGGAAATGACGGGGTCATCATACTCATTGATGGTTGGGCTTCAGTCATTGGATTTAGAGAGACTGTCGGAAACACTGAAGATGGTTAAAGCAGATGATAATGATGGAATTGATGATGTGGTGAGACAGATACGTACATAGGCCAGGGATGTCGAATACAACAGTGCGAACTATGATCTGTCCATGTTTAACAAAGCCAGAACCATTGAGAGTACAAGCCCGACGTTGCTCAAGCTGGTGGCAGAATTCCTGGAAAAGTCATATTATCCATGTTTTCAGGCTTCCGATGGATTAAGATTAGCAACATTATTACATATTGCACATATATGCTAATTAGGCTAATTATACTACATCTACATGGAATATCTTCTCTTGAATTAATAATTAGTCTTTCAAAAGTGATTTACAATGTTGCATTGCACCATTTTTAGGCTTTATAGATAAACAATGACAATGAAGTCCATATATTGTACACATGCTTATTAGCTCATTAATGCTCATTGTGCTATTTAAGACAATTGCATTACTTGGAATAAAAAACTGGTGTCATAAATGAATTCCACGTCATAGAAAACCCTTGAAAAGTCGTATTATCCATGTTTTCAGGCTGCCTGGATTGAGATGAGCAACATTATTACATATTTTACTTATATATGCTAATTAGATTATTATGCTTATTCAGCTAATTATACTACATATACATGGAATATCTTCTCATGAATTAATGATTAATCTTTCAACAGCGATTTACAATGTTGCATTGCACCATTTTTAGGCTTTATAGATAAACAATGACAATGAAGTCCATATATTGTACATATTATGCTAATTATGATATTTAAGACAATTGCATTACTTAAAAATAAAAATTGGTGTCATAAATGAATTCCTTGTCATAGAAAACTCTTAAAAAGTCGTATTATCCATGTTTTCAGGCTTCCTGGATTGAGATTAGCAACATTATACATATTGTCAATATGCTAATTAGATGATTATGCTAATATGGCTATTAAAAAAGTTGCCCAAGGTTGCCAAGCTGGCAACCAAGCTGAATTTACTTCAATACCCATCTAGAACACAAATCAACAAAAAAACCTTGTACTTAATAACTTTTCCGGGTCTGAAAAACTTCTACAGGACTATTATGGTTATATCAAAATATCTTAAACCACACTATATACTCTACGGACAAGATGGCTCAGGGGTAGAAGGTAGAGCAGTGGTCTCGCAAACAGATATACCAGATCCGAAACAAAGTCGATCTAGTACCTTTTGATAAGGCATTCATCATTATTACTAAGTTCCTTGGAGAGGACTGAAAGCCGTTGGTCTTTGGTTGCTTACTTCCAAGCATATTCATGCTTCCGCAGTCAGGTAAAAACAGATCGTTCAACCACACCAACCAAATACAACGACTGACGCCTTATATCGAGGGAAACCTTCGTGATTTTAGTCTAAATTTATCGACCTTTTCGCCAAAACATTCATCATTGTTTCATTTTATCCTAAAAGGAAATTGTTTCAATATATTTGTTTCGTGTTTGTTCTTCATCCTGTATTTTTGTCTAGTATGTCATTTTTGTAATGCCCTGTGTCTACCGATAAGTCAGCTCTTCTAATGGCTAAGCTACGTCTCCTTTGTAATGCAAATTTGATCAATAATAAAATGTATTCGACATGAGCGCTATAGAAGAACCTACTTTTATTATTATTGTTTATTATTGTTATAAATACATGACTTTTTAAAAGGGAGTTTTGATGAGACACATTCGTTAATTGTACTCAGAAATGAAATGCTTACCACCACTACAATTCAGCCCTCTGGTAGGAGTTGAACTCTGTCCATAAGGTGTGTTTGTTATTGCTCTGCTTGCTCCTGTGAATCCCAAGTGTCTGCAGATGACAATGAGGTCATTGAAACCAAGGTTTACTCCACATGTTGTCTCCCATGATCCATTGTCTTGCCTGATCTCAACCGAGCCTTTATTGGACGTTGGACCATCAACAAGACGTACATCTATCCCAGGAATTGAAACCACCAAAATAATAATTGTTATACAAATTGTTAACTGTGATCAGTATTCTTGTATAACTATTTATGCTTATATAAGATTCACAACACAAATACAAACAGAGGGGTCCTTTTGCCTTGCTAGAGAAATTACATATTTAGAATCACTAGCTCGTTCGAAGGAACGAGGGGCAGTTCCCCCCCCCCCCCCCTTTTTTTCCCCCTCTACTTACAGATTGCCTATTAGTCCAGTAAACGGTAGCATATGCCATGTACATGACCTGGAAAAGTTGATAAGTACAAATTTTTTTGTGTGTGTGTTCTAGATGGGTATTGAAGTAAATTCTGCTTTGTTGCCAGCTTGGCAACCTTGAGCAACTTTTTAATAGCCATATTAGCATAATCAACTAATTAGCATATGTGCAATATGTAATAATGTTGCTAATCTCAATCCAGGAAGCCTGAAAACATAGTTAATACGACTTTTCAAGGGTTTTCTATGACGAGGAATTAATTTATGACACCAGTTTTTGATTCCAAGTAATGCAATTGTCTTAAATAGCATAATTAGCATAATTATGTACAATGTATGGACTTCATTGTCATTGTTTATCTATAAAGCCTAAAAATGGTGCAATGCAACGTTGTATATCACTTCCGAAAGACTAATCATTAATTCATGAGAAGATATTCCATGTATATGTAGTATAATTACCCTAATTAGCATAATCATCTAATTAGCATATATGTGCAGTATGTAATAATGTTGCTAATCTAAATCCAGGAAGCCTGAAAACATGGATAATGTGACTTTTCAACGATTTTCCATGACGAGGAATTCATTTATTTCACTATTATTTATTTTTAAGTAATGCAATTGTCTTAAATAGGATAAAGAGCCAATAAGCATATGTACGATATATGGACTTCATCGTCATTGTTTATCTATAAAGCCTAAAAACTGATTCAATGCAGCATTGTAAATCACTTTTGAAAGACTACACATTGATTCATGAGAAGATATTACATGTACATGTAGATGTAGTATAATTAGCTTAATTAGCATATACGCTGTATGTGCAATATGTAATACGATAGTACAAGCCCGACGTTGCTCAAGCTTGAATTCCTGGAAAAGTCATGTTATCCATGTTTTCAGGCTTCCTGGATTAAGATTAGCAACGTTATAACATATTGCACATACACTGTCGCTCATATAGTTGGAATATTTTTGTTTTACCCAAATTTATGGAATTATTTTAAAAATAATTTAAAAATAATAGATCTAGATAATAGTATACATTCTCAGATTTATTGAATAATAATTTGACAATGTGTGTTTTGCGTGACTGCTAAATCATGTGTATGCTACTATGCTTATCAACTAGGGGACCTATGCTCTTAAGTCATAAATGACAGTAATGAGGATTAATGCCCCACAAAAGGGCACTAATATTGCACATCAACACGGTTTTGATCCTGGAGCCTCACAGTTACGAGGCCATTGCTTTGTCACTGAACCATGACTGTACGCAGCGGGGGCTAGGGTAGGGGGCAGTTACCATAAATTAAAAACGAAACAGAAAATGCAATAAATTTTCAATGATTTATTGCATTTTATCCCGGTCCCCAAAATAAAAAATCCTCTAGACGGCCATGCATTATGGCTTAAACTTTATTTTTTGTGTGTCTTTTTCTTCTCTTTTTTTTTCCCATTTTTTTTTTCCATATAAAAAAAAAAATCATTGGGATTGTCAAGCATTTAAACAAACAAAGTCTATAAAACACTTTAATATGGTAAAAAGACAAGTTTAATGTACGATTAATATCAAGACCAACACAGAAAGTATTTTGGGCTTTGAAATACAGCACCTTTTAAATCTCCATTGTACTACTTATAGCTACTTGCGCCCTCTATGTAGCAAACAATGCCTAATCGGTGACTATTGGTCCCCCATGATCCTCTTTATCTTATATTAACTGAGAGCTGATTTGATGAGATAACCACCTGTCCAGTGACCTTGCAGGGTGGTCTACTCCCTCCTGTAAACTAGTACAGATGGGCTTTAAAATGAGTTTAAGAATGCTCAGAACCTGATTTGAATAAACGGCATTTTGACATAGAAAAATAAAAATGTTTAAAAAGTTTAATAAATACCGAATTGCGTACTGAAAAGACAAAACTGGCAACGGGACGCATTCTGATCCTTGCAAATGCATGAAATGGTATGTTTGGCATTTAAGATTGCTCCCCCCCCCCCCCCCCCCAAAAAAAAAAAATAAAAAATAAATTAATTAATTAAAAAAATAAAAAATAAATTAAAAAATAAATAAATAAAATGCGAGCGGCCCGAAAATGACGAGCGGGCGGTCGAGGACAACCAAAATACTTGGAATAAAAAAACTGGTGTCATAAATGATTTCCTCATCATAGAAAACCCTTGAAAAGTCCTATTATCCATATTTTCAGACTTCCTAGATTGAGATTAACAACATTAATACCAATTTGAACATATATGCTAATTAGAATATTATGCTAATTAGGCTACTTATACTATATATACATGGAATATCTTCTCATGAATTAATGATTAGTCTTTCAAAGTGATTTACAATGTTGCATTGCACCATTTTTAGGCTTTATAAATAAACAATGACAATGAAGTCCATACATTGTACATAATTATGCTAATTATGCTGTTTAAGACAATTGCATTACTTTGAATATAAAAAAACTGGTGTCATAAATGAATTCCTCGTCATAGAAAACCCTTGAAAAGTCGTATTATCCATGTTTTCAGGCTTCCTGGATTGAGATTAGCAACATTATTACATATTGCACATATGCTAATTAGATGATTATGCTAATATGGCTATTAAAAAAGTTGTTCAAGGTTGCCAAGCTGGCAACCAAGCTGAATTTACTTCAATACCCATCTAGAAACACAAATCAACAAAAAAAAACTTGTACTTATCAACTTTTCCAGGTCTGAAAAACTTCTACAGGACTATATGTGATGTATATGGAAGATGCACTACTTTTCACAGAAATGGGTTTATGCCTAAAGTGAGAATATTAGAATTGAAAGATTGACATGACATTGAATTGCTTGTTCAAGGTGTAACCCTTGGGCAACTACAATTAACTGTATAGTCTTATTATTTCTAGGTCTCTTTAGATAGGTTGCTTTTCTGGTTACAGATCTACTGGATTTCATAACTCAAGAGAAATAACATGAGCTAGCGATACCAAATAGGTCTTTAGGTCAATGACTGAATATCTGTGGTCGTTAAAGATAAACTTGAGTTCTGGTAATGCGATTGCATTGTGAAAGAAAAGGTGTGGAATGGATCAGAAAAGTTGATCATATAGCATGTAAGTAATGGTGTGTAATGCAAGGTTCTGGAGTCATCAAAATCATCATAAATTTGGCAGAGTCTTGGTAAAGTAACAATTACTTACACAGAAAGATGTATATGGGACAACACACATGGTGTCGGGGCTAGAACCACCCTGATTTCCTTATCTTTCTATGCTCATTACTCAGCCAGTATACATTTTCTTCCAAAATTCTTTGGCACATGACATTTATTTGTAATATTGAACATTCAGTGTAAGTTTCGTTAGATTCTGTGAGAATTCATTTTCTTTTTTTAACAGAACTCAAGTTTTTCTTTAATTCCCTACGCTTGTTCCCTACGAAGCTTCATTTTCTGTTGGAGGGCTGCATCAACGACTAGAGAGGTCTATGACGCGCTATGTGCGAGTGACTTCGGAAAATCAGTAAATGCACAAATGAACAGGGTATAAACGTTACGTAGAATTATGGCAAATTCATTGCCTTTTGATTTACACCAATGGCCATCAAGTAATTTTAAACCATTGTTTGCGTTGTTTATTTTTACAATCACTTTTTTTAGATTGTAAATTTAACATGGGGTTTCAGAGACCACACCATTCACTGACGCAGCCCTACGCCACGCAAACGACGCCCCGTGCGCAATGTGCATTGGTTACCTGTTATGACCATGCCACATCTGACCGTGTGATTGCTGCACTGCGTCAAAAGAATCACCAGGAATACAAGGATGATATGGTGCCAATCCATTTTGAGTTATACTATGAATCACCGCTGAATCTGCAAATTGAATTGGGGTAGAATTTTAGCAGTCCTTTTCGTCATGATCGTGAGCTTATTCAGTTAAATTTCGAGATTCATTGTGATAATGGGATCATATTTCAACTTTTTTTTATAATACAAATCAAAACATAAAAACAGTAATGATAATTCATGGGAAGGATATGATGTAGGAATGACACCTGTGAGAGATTTGTATAGGCCCATATTTCAGGGAATCAAATGTAGTTGCTAAGTTTACTGCGATTGCATCTATATTGCATGAGAACAATTCCTAGGTCCTAGTCCATCAAGACCACTACTGGATAAATCATGTCCATCACTTAGGCAGTGATATATGGATATTTGAGGCTGGTTTGTTCAAGACCTACCTCCGAAGTGGCTTAAAGACTAGTAATTAGCACGCACCCCCCCCCCCCCCCCCGACGTCCGTATTACTTTAAATACTCAAATAAAAAAAACTTTTTGAGGATTTTGGTTCATCCATGACCGCCAGAAGAAGCCGATAGTAAACCGGTGATAGAAATCGTAAGTTACATCTTACCTTACCTTCAGTACACACTAGAATTTCTATAAATATATATTATTATTCTATTCGTAATTACCACCTTCTCAAATTTATGTTCCAGTATATGTATGCTCTGCGTGGCTCGAATAAATCCAATATTATCACAATAGATGAGTGAGGATCCTGAACAAATGTCCACTTCAAATAACACATCAATGATACATGATGATACTGCACGTTATTACAGCTAATTCACTGATCAGATGAATGCGATATGAACATGAATACTGTGAAAAGTTTTGTGAGATTCGATTATGACTATGAGAACGGAAGTTCACAGGCGGGTAATCATGCTGAATTCCCCCTTCTTCGCTTGGGAGACTCTGTGAAGCAGGGCCTCGTTTCATCAAACCTACCATCAATAACAATGTGCAGAAATTCTGTGACAAATCTGCTCTCAACCAATTAAATGCGATGAATTCAGTACCTTATAACAGTTAATGTAACTTGTCAGGGATGACACATTTTGTGAAACAGTACCCTGAAAAAGGTACTGTATGAATAGAGGACGGCAGGAGTAATTTTCAGAGTCAAGTTCCGCTTTCAGGTATACTGTATGCAGAGTTGGTAAGTCTGCATGTTTTAACATGAATATTACTATCATAAAATATGATGTACCATTTGTGTAGGTGAATATGTAATGTGTCTAGTAGACATCGGTTTCGCGGTTTGTAATCAAAGTTTTAAATGTCGAATTAGCACCGTGAGGAACATATGTTATAGATTTGAACCATGGCTGTCTTTTTTGATGAAAGAAAAATATAGAGTTTGCTCTGTTAATACACCCTTGTAAAAGCATAGGTATTTTGTATCAAATGTCACTGTCATTCAATCGAAATAATTTCATTACTATTCTCTCTCTCTCTTTCTCTCTTCTCTCTCTCTCTCTCTCTCTCTCCTCTCCCTCTCTCTCCCTCTCTTCTCTCTCTCTCTTTCCCTCTCCTCTCTCTCTCTCTCTCTCTCTGTCACAAACACAGTCTTTACCCTTTCTCTCTATCTTTCTCTCTCGCTCTTCCTCTCTTCCTCTCCCTCTCTCTCTCTCTCTCTCTCTCTTCCTTTCTCTCACCCCCTCATTATGTCTTTCTCTTTCTATAAGTATGAAAACATAAATACTTGCCTCTATCTGAATTATTAACGGTCATGACGTCACAATGAAAACTTTGAATAGATAATCTGATATAAAAATGTGAAGGAAAACAAATGATGTTATCGTCCCGGGCAGCGTTTCACAAAACCGTCATAATTACAAATTCGCTGAAATCGCATTGAAACGCTTGTGTGAAGGTTCACACACATTTCAATGGGATGTCGACGAACTTGTACTTACAACGGTTTTGTGAAACAACGCCTAGGGCTCTAATAAAGAGCGAAGGGTAAGAATGTGATTCCCCCGAACATGAACCTGTATGTAGGCTCTACAATAGTTACCTACAAATGCTACATTTGTATGCACTTTGGAGAGATTGGAATCTCCAGTCTCGCATGCATGCAGGGCATACACTGGCTGGGCCATGCCATAAAGGTGAGATTACATTTTGTGAAATTGATTGATCGATTTTATTTATTCATTTCATATAACAATTGTTTGCACAATAAAGAATATAGTTGACAAAGTAAGATCAAAATTATAACATGAAACAAGAACCTACTGGAAAGCATCGCCAAGAAGCATTCTCCTATATTGACTCCAACAACAATTATCCAAATTACTATATCAGATTTAAAACAACACAGGCATTTTAGTATGCATGCATATTTTAATGCATTGTTACAACTTCAACTTTAAACTTAGTCTGGTATGCAAAATCACTCTCGAACAAATACCTGGGCCCTGTATTACAAAGAGTTGATATCAATCGCAACTTATTTGCGATTGATATCAATCGCAAGTATGTACATAAGATATAGGAGATTGCAAACTTGCGATTGATTAGAGGACTTGCGATTGATTTGGATCAATCGCAACTCTTTGTAAGACGAGGCCCTGGTGTCACGGCAAGCCTCGCTTATATCTGTCTTCAATATGGAAGCCAAAATTACAAAACAACACAAAAATTAATTGAGCAAAGCTTTAATATAACAGAGTAGCAATTGAACAGGAATTGTTCTGGCTAAGCACACATACTTCTTTGTTAACTGAAAATGATTCTTAAAGAAATGTTTTCATATGCATTGAGGAATTATATACTAGAGGACCATGAAGTTCGTCATATTTTGTCCAACCCTCATGGAATAACCCAGATATGAACTCAACAATACCATTTAAGAAAGAAAAAAAATATAAACAAATATTAGACAACTTCGAAAGTATTACACAGGGGTATCCTTTAACTACACCGTTGCCCATAAAGGCGGAATATATTTTTCTTACTTCTCCCAAGGTAATGATTGTGACATCATGGTTTTATTCCTGATAAAGCTTGAATCTTCTCAGAACTTCATTAATCAATCTCCATGACTCTTTATATTGATTAATAAAGTTATGATAAGATAATTATAAGCTTTAACTATCAGAATAACTATCAAGAAATATATCACTACAACTTTATGGGCGACAGTGTATTACGAATAGTTTGGTATGCCGTGACTTTAATTTGGCCAACAAAGGATAAATTAAAGAATGTAAAAGAATATCTTCGAAGGCTTAGGATTTAAATTGTGATATAGAATATATTTGAAACTTACAAGCAACTTGATCATCTTAAAGAGATCGTTTGGTTAAGTCAAGAATATTTTTAAAATTTACAAGCAAAGTGTTCATCTCAAAGAGATCATCTTAACAAATAGTACGTATGGTAACGCGTGTAACACTTTTAATCTAAAGTATCCTTAATAACCCTTAAATAAAATGTAACTACTAAGATTTATAACGATATTTATATATATGTATTGACTCGTGAGGGCGTTTTTTCTGTTTCCGTTGTTCACATTGATTTATCGTTAAATTGCCTAAAGTGTAACATTTGAGATTTATAAGAAAATGTATAAAATTAAAAAGGATAACATTTGACACGACCGTTTAAAATCGCGTATAAAAAAACCTGTATATGTCATGTGTACATGTTATCCATAATGAGTTATTTATTTTATTGCATAAAAACAAGTGTTAAGAATTAAGATCATGAATTGTAAACTAAAATCAGGGGGATTTCTTCATTACCCGATTCAGTATAATAGCACCATAATATAAGATTCCATTATCAAGATAATACAAAACGTTACACTAATTTTTTAATCAAAATATATAATGTGAGGGGCTAACTATTTTTCCTTGAACATATTGAAATAACTTACAAATAAAAACATCATAAAAAAGGTCATCATAACACTGTGTGCGTATAATTCCCGCATATATATGTATGTACCTTGTGAATAGTATATACCTTACTAATTACGGTGTAATGTGTACATCACATGCGACAAATAAGTGAGTCATTGCTAAATACAAATATTATGATCCAATGACGAAATGGAATCATATTCAGTTCCTCCTCTTCTACCTCCACCCCCTCTCCCTCTCTTTCTCTTTCTCGTCTCTCTTTCTCGTTCTGTCCGTTATACGTATATGCACGTACACACGCATACACAAATAATAAACGCACACTCATTCCCAAACACTCTTTTCACCTATGGAAAATGGGCGGAGTAAGTAGTTTATCAAGAATGATTCTTTTTTACATATAACAGGCTATCATAACAGCACGTGGTTTACATTGCATACAGTTCATTATCAACCATGACAGTTCCATATTCATTATCGTCATTGTTGACGGTATGCCCTGGTGCAGTGGACATGGCATAAAGTCCCGTATCATCATCAGCTAATAAGTATAACCCTTCCCCACTGTTACCCTCACTCCCCGGTCCCACTTGACTCACGTCTTCGCGACCTTCCGGAACTCCTCGGCTTTTGTCAGGCATCGCGTACAGGGCGCCGAAGTCTTCCGAACCCTGTCCGTCGCCACCTTTCCCAGTTTTGTCAGGCTTTGCGTAGAGTGCACCGAAATCCTCTTCTCCCTGGCTTTTCCTTGGCTTGTCCGGCATAGCGTACATCGCCTCAACATCGCCTTTGGATGGGGGTCGGGAAACTCGTTTTTCTGGGAACCCGTCATTCTGATCTGAAGGCATCGTGTTATTGAGTTTCGAATCTGTATTCTTCGATTTCTGGTCTTTCACTGACGAATAGGATGTAGCATCACCTTCGGGAGGTGCATGGTCCCTAACAGATGAGTAGTAGGTAACATCGCCGTCAGTAGGGGGATCAGGCAACTGCAAACCGTGTGGTGTTTCGTCGGAGTTGTCTTGGAACATGTTGTGGTAAAGGTGACCCTGCGTGCCATTTGGACTGGCAGGCTGCATCACTGTCATATCATGTGACTGTAATCTGTCTTTCTGTTGCCCT